TAAATGATTGATGTTTTTAGGAATCCTGTCGGGTCTAAATGCAACGCTTTCCTTGCAGGACTACCTCCCCAGCCAGCAGGACATCCTACTGGCCAGGAAACCAACCAAGGGTATCCACGAGTACAACTTTGAGATCAAGAACGTTCCTTTCAAAATGGTGGACGTTGGTGGCCAGCGCTCGGAGAGGCGGCGTTGGTTTGAATGCTTTGACTCGGTCACTTCCATCCTCTTCCTTGTCTCCTCTTCTGAATATGATCAGGTGAGATTATGTTGGGGTCATTATGGAGTGCTCTATATCTCTATAACAGTTTTTTTAATGTTCAGAGGTTGTTTAGTAGGTCTCTTTGCTCAATTTCACATCTTTGATGCCTCACTAAAGGCAAACACTGACATGATGGACTGAAGCCACCTTCCATCTAAGATCTCCTACCTTCTTATTAATTCATTTTTTTCTGGGGGGCTATGTTGTTTAATGCAACATACAGAAAGGAAGTAATCAGTTCAACAAGATCATCACTGTATGAAAGGGAGGAAATTAAATGGCTGCCCTCAGCAATGTTTTTCTGTTATAACAGAGATTAAAATAAAAAGGGAACAGATACTTTTTTTTTTTCTTTTTTCTTTTCTCTTTGTTTCTTTATTCTTTTCTTTTTTTTTCTTTTTCTCCTTTTTTTCTTTTTTTCTTCTGCTTTTCTTTTTTAGGTAAGCACTCTATTATATGCATGTTGGTGCAAAACTGACTGTATATTTTTCATGCATAAACAGTATCCGTTTTTGTAGGCTACTGTTTTTACTTGGAATTCTATTAAAACATATTTTATTTGACCAAATAAAAAAGCAATGTATAGTAACTGGATTATTATAAAAGGGAACAGATACTAATCCAGAGCTATCTGATGATTTGCTAAAGTGAAACCTTCTTTTAGAAAATTAGAGAATTTTGCTAAATAAAATGTGAAAGTCATTGCTCATTTCTACACAATCAATGCCAAATGTGAGGACAAGGTCCAAAGTATGAAGATGAGAAGGTGTCGGTCTATCCACATTTTGATCAAAGCCAATCAAGTCTAAGATGCCATTAGAGGCGAGATAAGCTATCGCCTTAATGTCTGCAATGAGATAGCTGCGAGTTTAAGTCCTCACAGCCAGAGTGAGTCAAACCTCCATCAGCCATCTTTTGTTCTGTACTGTTTGCAAGCCGGTTTCCAGGTTTGCTAATGCTAACCTTCGGTGGGGTTTTTTGTTTAAATGTTTTGGCTTGAATTTGAGAAATGTGAGGCTGAGAGGAGGCCATTTCTCAGAGCTGATGCAGAGCTACTAGAATGTGTCAAACCCTGAGCTCCATCACCCAACCTACTATTCCTATCCACGCAGAATCCTGGTGGCAAAGTTGGCATGGTAACCAGTAGTTAAATTAGAAATTTTAAAGCAATAATATTTTCACTAAAATAAATTTTTCTTCACTAAATGATCTGTGGATGTATACTTTTTTTATATGACTTGTTTTGTCAAGAAGGTTGTTGATTTATTTATTTTTTTTCTTCCTCACTATAATAACCTTTAGTATTTAACACTGACTCAGAGAGGAACTCTGAAACAGAAGTGATTTGTAGCGCTTTAACATTTATATTGAGGATATTTAGACTTGAAATTTCAAGAGAAATAGAACTATTAATGAGTTTTTGACTGATCAGTAAATCAGAATACGCTGTGTGCAGAATTATTAGGCAAATTAGTATTTCCACCACATCCTCCTTTTCATTCATGTTATCCTCCTCCAAGCTGTAGAGGCTGGAAAGCCAACTACCAATGAAGTAAATCAGGTGGTGTGCTTCTCTGTAATGAGAGGGGGCGTGGCCTAATGACATCAACACCCTATATAAGGTGTGCTAAATTATTAGGCAACTTCCTTTCTTTGGCAAAATGGGACAGAAAAGAGATTTTAAAGATTCTGAAAAGTCAAAAATGGTCAGATGTCTTTCAGAGGGGAGCAGCAGTTTGGA